GTGTGACGGGGATTCAAACCCGCGACCCACAGATTGCTAGTAGATCGCCCTAACCACCTAGCCAACTTTGGTAGGTCAGAGTGAAATTTGGGCCATCCCATCCCTAGTGCCAGCATTGGAAGTTTTTGTTGTAATCACAACATAATTGTTCCTTTAACTCTCTTTTACCCGAAGCTGGTCAAATAACCATAGCATCAATAGGGAAGACTACATTAATAATTCTAAAACTTTATGAGTGAAACTACAGAAGCTTATAAAACGTATGTAAGCTACGCTGTATATGCCATATCCAATGACAATGGGGCCTTTCCTTCAATACCAGGACTCATCTTGCCAGCTGAAATACAACAGACACAGTATTAGTTGAGATGGCATTTATATTAAAAATTTGCACGTATAACAGCTGTTACGATGTGAACTGTATTAAATTGGTGAAGTGTTATTTTTTATCCATTTTATACGAATCATTTACAAATGAGAATTAATAACACAATATTAATTTTAAAACCAAGTATTTATTTTTACTTGAATTAACTTTACTCGTCATTCAGAACTCTGCTTGTGTTGTTACTGTTTTTAGAAGCAATGTTTTCGACACTTACTGGGCTCTGTGGACATAGGCCACAAACATTTATTTACAAAGCAAGTATCACATGGTTGAACAGACAAGATACAGACAATGTCATCATTATATATACATTGTGGACATTCAGTAATGTTCAAGTGACAGAGAAAAAATCAAGAAAAACTATTGACTAACAGTTTCAACAGAAAATTTGACTTAGTTTGTTAGTCATGCATATCACATCTGAAACTTCCCATTATGTTTTAGACAGTTTTTAAAAAAAGTCGTAGTTGTCACCCATAAGTTGTGCAGTTAGTAAATTTTAACAAGCTCGTCATTTACAGTTTTTCAATTATATAATTTATTGATGAATTTTAGTTTGAACTGAATTATACAATAATGTAATTAGACCCGTCATGATAAACAATTAGTTTTTAAGTTAAACCTCAAGCTGTTTTCTTTCAAAATCGCATTTCACCCGATTTGTTTTTTACATCACCACATTATAATCGAACATCTTTTATCATACCTTCACAAGCTGTTTTACTTTCTTCTTTTTTTTTACAATTAGTATTGGATGGAAGAACAAGTATTACTCTTAAGAGAATTTAAGTTTCAGTGGTTGTACATATAGTGAATAACGAACAAGCCAGTAAATAATATTAAATGTTACATGAACACTAGACTACATTTATTGAGAATAACTGACAGCGATTACAAATGTGATGATAGGCAGCATCTCACCATAGGAAAGAGGTTCTGTTAGGAGTGGTATTACAAAAAAAAAAGTATCTTTTAACAGAGCATGCGCTGTATACATTCTTTGTTTCGGCCACAAGCTACTTTATTTACCATACGAAGCTTTCGATATTGTACATCGAAAGAATAAATAGAATTTTCCTCTGTGTCCACCAGATGCAAAATAAAACACGTATATGCTTAATACCATACCTAATTTGTATACTTTGCTTCACTGTTATGTACAACTTTATTGCAAAGTACCTAAGCTACGAACGAGCTGTATCACATTCGTATGGAAAAGCAGCTTTATAGAGGAAGTATCTGGATTTTAGCAGCCAACTAACATCAGACCTAATCAGTGTTTATGTGGTATTTATTTTTTTGTCCTATTCTAAACTTTTCCTCTTCAAATAACATAACATGCTGAGACCATAAGCCAATTTTAACCCGAATCTTACTTTCAAATATCACATCTCTATTGTATAATATTGCAGTAAATTAACAATGTATCCTGTTCACATCACTAAGCCTAATGCATAGGACTTTATAGAAAGCATTAACGTAACTTGCCACACTGTAGAATACAAGAAATATGAATACATACAAGCTTCTATTCTAAACAGTGGATTCTATTAAAATATCATGAATAATTTTTTTATCAAATGAAATAATCATTCTATTAACGTGTTTCAAAAACTTAAAAATAATAGCAGACTCTTGAATTTTTCCACAAAAATTATAAGTTAGCCAAAATAATATAAACGTCTGACGTGAACACTTTGAAACCATTCAGTTTTATCTTTTTTTAAACTTTTTCTCTGACTGAAACGTTCTTTTACCAAATCTCCTGAATCTCGGTTACAACTACGTTGTTTCAAATAAATGACATGAAATGTTTTCTCACATTAATAGTTTAATTAAAATGAAAGGGTTTACTTATGTTCAAAATAAAAATACCAAGACACCCAAGTTTATGCTGGGTAATTATAATAAAAGAATATAAGACTTCTAGATTCTGCCTTGCTATTTCCAGTGTTACGTGTATTAGTTAGGTTCTGAAGCCGTCAGTTTTCAGTGATGAGCATTTAAAGAATAGAATGACTATTGATAGAAGATATAATAAATTCTTTTCTCAGATATATTTACTACTAGTCTAAAGAACAGTGATTTGTTTTTAATGAGATTATATATCTAAACAACACATGGTTACTGGGAAGACAATATCTACCTGAATAATTGGGATTCACTACCTAGTTTAAGAATGCTACAGCTTGATTTAAGGTTTGTTTTTTTTGTAAGAAAGGTAATAAACAACTTAAGATAAATGTTTTTTTAGTGTTACCTTTAATTTTAATACTTTTTAATCATCAGTTTTGTAACCTGTGACATGACACTCAAAGACCCTTGTAAAAAGGCTTAAGTGGAAATGCTGAGTGAAATAAAAGAACATTTCTTTGAAGCTATCATCATTCTTTAACATAGTTTCCATCGTCCAGTCAGCACTGAAACTTTAGAAACTAATAATAAGATTAATATAATTTTTATCACGTTTTACACCACATGATAGTGACGTTTTATGGCTTCCATGTGGTATGGTAAATTGGAAAGCTTGTTCTGATGAAGTTATTTGAATTGGGTGATCTAAGGCTTACAGTTTAATTGTATGAACTTCGTCTGTAGGTTTCATATAAAAGTTTTGAACTTATTGTCAGTTTCCAAGAAAAATAACTTTGCCAGTTTCTTTTAATGTTTTACTGTGATGTCCATTTTTTAATATATAATAAGCTATACTCACTGGAACAAGAAATAGTTAATTGAGTTTTATTCACATTTGTCGAGGCGGACGTGGAAAATAAATCATGCTTGATTGTAAATCACGCTCACAAATAATAATACATTGTCCTAAAAGCTCTAGAGTTTCATAATTTGAAAAGTACAAACACTCAAAACATTTTGAAGCATGCTGTATGTTTTTGGAGGGAGAAAATGCTTACTCAGCTTATTTCTGAGTTACTGATGTACGAAGAAATGCCAGTAAAGGTAAGATAAGAAAAGAAGAAAGACTAAATAAATGTGTAAAGTTATTTCTTCTTCTGTTACGTACATTTCAAGCTCAAGCAAATACACTGGTTCAAAAGGCAGATACAATATATGTAAGAGCCTTAACAACAATATCACATTGACGAACTAGTGATGCAGATATGATGATTTTTTAGATGTATTTTTCTTTATCTTTTCTCATATACACAAAGCAATTCAAATGCTCAGAAAACCAGTTTTTGATATGGACCATTAGACACAGGATAAAAAAGCATTTAATACATGAACATTAACTGGTTAACTGAAGTTTTTATAAAACATTTTGCTGTACAATTTGGTGCAAGTTCAAAGGCACATACATAAAAAATCAATAAAAAAGGTATCTCAGAACTTTCAATAATGAACAAATAATATCTTTCAGATTTGTCAGTTAGATATTTTACAGAAACAAGCTAAAAATCCAAATAAATACATAGAATTAACTAAGTTCTTTGTATAATTTTCAACACAATGACTAGAGCTCAACATATCTGCCTCTATAGATGAAGGCATATTCTTGTAATGGCATTAGTAATCTTAAGGTCAGAAACATGTTATCATGTACATTGCTAGTTGGTCAGGTCTTCCATAAAGGTTTAAGAAGAGATTTCACTGATGAAAAAATGTTTCTTTTCCCATGTTTGGAATAGGTAATACCTTGTGTTTTTGATTTTTTGGTCTTTCCACAAGCATCAGATGATTCTTTGTTTCGATTTTTTCTACGAAACCTTGGTCCTGACTTAAAGTTGAAGAAGGTAGGTCGCTCGTTACCAGAGCTGTGTAACTCTCTCTGATGAGTAACGGCTTCTGCCTGTAGGATGAGATGGTCGTTCTGGGCCTCGATCATAGGCTTCATGATCAGAGATGTATCTCCCTCTTTCTGATGGAGGAATATGGTCCTTTCCAGAACCTGTGCTATGGTAGGCTGAACTACTTGTGCCTCTGGGATATTGTGAGGGTGGTTCTTGAGGTGCTGTAAAATGATATATTATGCTACTTAGGTGTTAAGTTTTATTTACAGTAACAATATCTTAGGAATTAGCTTTGTCTTAAGATAAATTATAAATGTATGGTTTATCTTAGAATGCATGATGCAATAAATGATTAAAGCACGTTGAAATGGTACGTTAGGTATCTAAACGGAGACAAATGCTGATTGGCTGTATGTCACTTAAAGGTTATCCTTCTCTTAAGAGACAGTATCAGTACACAAGTCCTTGAGTAAAAACAAAATAATTGCTGTTACCATGGGAGTGGGAAGGATGGAGCAAGAAGCAAACCAAGCTCCAGATTTCTCAGAACTGTAGCCAGGATGAGACAGATCAGGTTCGTCGGCTACTGGGGCTAGCAAGCAGGGAAGAATTATAACTACTAGAAACATAAAGTGCTCAACTGAAATAACCTGAATAATGTAAAAGTAAATAAAACTTAGTACATTCAACAAACCGCATGCTCATTAGGAGAAAGAAGAAAAATTGTGCATTTTTTTTTAGTGGTTATTTATGCTTGTACCATGCATCTAACTAATTACTGAACAGAATAAACAACAGTTCCGTGCATTCTTCTACTGTAATTTAAGATAAGTTTTAACTCACATAAATGGTATACACTATGTTAAAAAAAAAAAACTTATACTAAATGTTTTCCCCTGACCTTTGGGTTGACTCACATTCCCCACACCAGGGGGACCAAGCTGTCCTCTGGTAGCAGATCGGTTATCTTTATAATCAGGGGGGGCTTCAGTTAAGAAGTTTGAAGGCACAAGTCCACGAATGCCATTGATCTCACCCATATAAAAGCCATCTTCATCCATGTCACCATATACATAGATGATGTCTCCAGTATTAAATGTTAGCTCCATCTAGAGGCAGAATACAAATTTACAAAATGCTAGCTGCTATTAGCCAAAATGTTATTTTCCATTAAACAAATTTAGTCACTGATAAGAAAAATAAGCAGAAAACTGCAGTAAACCTGTAAGCATATAAATGATACTTAATGACCTACCTTAAGTCAATATAAATGATACTTAATGACCTACCTTAAGTCAATATAAACCATTTAAAGCTAAAGAAATATGTGTAATTTTAAACTGTATCAAGTTATAAAGTACAGACACAGTTTTAGCAGACGTTTTCACAAACATCTAAAAAGTGCTTCAATCAAAAGTTATACAGATTCTACTAACTTGAAGCTCTCAAAGTGAAACTGAATAAAATGTATAATCTTGAGATATGAGGCTGAAGCTTAACATCGTTCATTAGGCAATATCCTACAGGTAGACAGACAACCAGATATTAGGAATTGATTCTAGGGTACACAGAGTTTGAAAGGTTATGACACAAACCAGTACATGTGATAATCTGACTAAAAGAGTAAATAATGAGGTACATACCTCAGCATCTACATTGGGGGACAACTCCTGGGGGTCATAGTCATATAGTGCAACCATCTTGCGCAATTGCACACCACCCACAGTGTCAATGTCTCTATCCACTTATATGAATATAAGAAAAATGTTAAAATTGAAAGGACTATTATAAATATTATTCACATTAAAAGTTTTAAAAAATACAGACCAACTGTAATTTAAGTTGGCATAAAAATAACAATTTGAAACTTAAACAATAGATATGAATACATCAGTCATAGGTTTTGATTAATAATTAATTTGTGATTTAACAGTAGATCTAGGGTTATATTTGTAAAAACAAAAATATTTAGGTACACGTTTTTTCCTCACCTTAATAAAGATAAAATACTTAAAACAAATGATACGTGTATGTTTTTTTAAGTAAATTAATAACTGGTTAGTTGTTATTAGGCACAAAGATATACAATGGGCTATCTGTGCTCTGCCCACCGTGGATATAAAAATTAGAATTTTAGTGTCATAAGCCTGGAGGGTAAATTACTAACTTAACTTAAAAATACTGCTACACATGATTTTACAGTTACGAGACAAATGTTGACAAGATATTTTACCCTGTACTTGAAAGTTTCTCTTCATTCTGAGAAGATAAAAAAAGGAACTACAGATCTATGTTAGTGAGTTATTAAAAACAGTTATGGTAAAATATATATGCCTGCTTTTTGTTTTTAGATGTAAGTATAAATATATTTCAATGTCTCCAGAGTATTTTCTATTTAATATATTGATAGAAATGACTACAAAATATGTGTACTTACCCGCTCATCATTTTTCACAAATCAAACCACTACTAATTACCTGGAGAAGGGTGTGACCTGGGAGACATGTTTTCATTTGCAAGCTGTTGAGCAATTTCTTCATCATCCAATTGAACCTCTGACACCATGTTACACGGAACAAACCCAACTCTCCCATTTATTTCTCCTCTGTAAAACCCATCTGGGTCTTTCTCTCCATAGATCTAGATGTACAAAACAGTAGAGTTAAATTGTCATCTGATACATAATTTTGTATTTACTTAGAACTTGTAACTAAAAAAAATAAACAAACATCAGTTTACTTAAAACTGTTTTCAGTACCTAGAAGTCACCAAAAAAGAACAAACAAACATCAGTTGCACAAATGTAATATAAACATTTGTATTTGATGCTACATAATGTTTGTTTGTTTGTAATTAAGCACAAAGCTACACAATGGGCTATCTGTGCTCTGCCCACCACGGGTATCGAAAGCCGGATTCTGGCGTTGTAAGTCCGCAGACATACTGCTGTGCTACTGGGGGGCGCTACATAATGCTTAACCATTGCCCTTCACCTTTTGATTTACCTTTTAGATCATGGATGTTTGATACTTAAACCACAAGCCTTGTACCTTAGAAAGTTCAAAGTGGACCTAAGCACTATATGTATCACCTTGAAAAAATTCTTTTATGATATTTTTTTACCTCTTTATGCACTGTCCTAATGATATCTACATAGAAGGATTAAATCCATTACTCTACTTAATCAGACTTGAAAAAAGGATTTATATTGGAACCAACCTTGGACGTGTATTGGAACCAACCTTGGACGTGTATTGGAACCAACCTTGGACACGTATTGGAACCAACCTTGGACACGTATTGGAACCAACCTTGGACATGTATTGGAACCAACCTTGGACGTGTATTGGAACCAATCTCATTTTAAAAAAGGGGGATGAATGGTCAATAAAAAAGGCTATAAAAAGGTCAAATTCTTTTATTATAGATCTTCACAATAACTAATCTTTTCAATATATTAAGAATAAATAATGAAGCCAAATCTATCATTTGATTTACCACTTGCTACTGTGTTCTTCTAGTTTTGGGGAATTCCACTCCTCGTCAGTAACTGTGGACAAGAGCAAATAAAAAAACTAACAAGAAGACTAGGCTTCTTATGGTGGTGGATTATATAAATTATATGTATTATATAATGATTTTAACACTTGTTACTTTTGGAAAGATTCTTCAAGCAGACTTATCTCCAATTATCTTTTATAATTTTTCTGAATTCTTGACAGAAATGAGGTTCATATATAGAGGGTTGGCTACATTACATTGAAACTCTTTTGGAAATTTTCCACATCAGTACAGTTGATTTCATCATGTCAAGTCAGAGGCGGAACTAGCATGGGGCAGATGGGATAATGCCCCAGGGCCCATGATTCCTGGGGGCCTGATCTGGTCTTATCTTCTGAAAATAGGGGCCTCGATAAGTTCTTTGCCCCGGGGCTCCTGAACTGCTTGTTCCTCCACTGTGTCAAGTCATGCTCTATCTGACATTGTGCACCTTGACAATAGCCTGGCAGTATAGTTTCCACTGCAAAGGGATTCATTGTAAGGCTATCGTATCAAAACACACTATTCCTTCATGCAGGGTTTATACATATATATTTCATCTAGTGAATGAGGACAATAGTTTGCCAGCACTCATTTCAAAAGTCTAATTGCACAGAAATCCACACGTGCTGTGTCTGGTGACTTGTGCATTGTCTTCATAAGGAATAGCACGAATACCCCTTTCATTCTCCAGCTGCTTGAGGAATGCAACAGTTAAACAGAAAGTATGGTTTGGAAGCCTTTTATGTTGATGAACCCTGCCTTGTTTCCATACAAAGCCAGTATTTCTGTGCTGTGTAAAGAGCCCAGAACATTGTTATGATAGAAAGCAGAGTTTACCTTGATCTTTGTATCCACTCTCTTGATCCCTAACTTGCCTCTGGTGCAGTACCCAGTGATGATCATGAATCCCCTTGAAAAATTTCACAACATGGCATGTAACAATTTTTTCAATGACTGACTGGTAGAAAATGGCATAAAACATGTTATAATTATCATGATAAACATATGCTTTGAGTGTCAACACATATTGCCATTTTCCCCAGCTAGGTACTTTTCTTATGTCATGGAAACAACTTGTGTACATGACTTGTGTCTTATTTCCAATTGAAGATCCTTCCCAAGTATAATGCTTACTGATATCTAGGGCATGCATACAGCTTTTGCCACTGTGTTTATGTATCCTCACTTGTTACTAAATACAGTACATTATTTACCAGGATTAAGGTATGACTTTTTGTAGGTGTCTTTCTAGATGGTCCTGTTGTCCCAAATTGATTCATATTCTATTGTTATCCAATGCCATTAAGGACAAGGGATATCCTTGTATTAAAAATGTTAAATCCCTGATCTGAATGATCTTCAAGACTCTGAGTATGAATCTTTTGTGTTGGAAATGGCTGTTACATACCCTTCCCAAAAGTGATCAATTTTTGGTAGCATTCACTACCTATAAAACGCCAACCAAATTAAAAATGTAGTTCTGATATATTCTGTTCCACTGAAACTTTATATCAGCTGTGGTTATCATGCAAGCTGTTGATTTGCATATTTAAAATCATTATAACATACTCAACCCTCAGTATAGGGTCATTACTGACAATAATTCATAAACCTAATATAACATACTCAACCCTCAGTATAGGATCATTACTGACAATAATCAACAAACCAATAAAGCAATTTTTCACAAATAGTTACATTTTTAAGTATAAAAAAAAATTATTTTTCTTAGAACAATTTAGGAATTTCAGTATATGATGCTCTTCAGTTTCTATATAAGTCTCTTCTGTTCCTAAACCGTTCTTTTGCAAAATGTTTTGTCTAAAAGTTACTGGTAACTGTAAAGATGCCCACTACTAATGGGCACCGACTTCTTTCAGTACAAATCTGTAGTTGTAAATTTCCTTGAAAAACAATAATGCTTTAGCATAGTAAGTCTGAGCAGCTGTAAACATTTCAGTGTTTTGAGCCTAGAGTGATTCAAGCAGAACAGCTTACTTTTATCAACTGTCCTTCCTGGAATGGGAGTTCTTCACCAGCATCAGGGTTAGGAGACATTGTGTGAGGGTTATAGTCAAACAGTGCCACGAACCATCTGACACGGTTGTCTGGATGGTTAACATCCACAAGGGGCTGACCTCTATAATCAACACTTCCACGGTAGCTGTGTACAGGGTAGTTGTCATCTCTACGGTGTGACACAGGAGGCATGTCACGGTAGTGGTAATAGTCCTCTTCTCTTGAGAAGTGGCGAACTCTGGGAGGAGTAGGAGAAACTGGACGAGGCCCACTCCTGTCTACACTATAAACTTGTGGTCCTCCCCTAGACTTCGACAGCTCAGGAGGATAGCCTTTTGGCTGAACTCTGTGTACCCTTCTTATTGCATCATACTCTTCCTCTGAGAAGTTCTCTACAGAATTGCAACCTTCACTAGCACTGTCCTTAGTGATTTCTACAGAAAAAAAAGATATTTTGGCAAGACAATTATGATGGGAATCTTATTAATTACATTTCATTTTTATAATAGCTATAAAATACTTAGAGTTTTTGATTTGGAAAGGGTACATGACCGGTCTTCATCTGAACGAAATATAAATGCATGTTAAAAGTACAATCTACATACTAAAGATGAATAAAAATCAAAATTACGAATTTCCCTAATTCTTTGAATACTCAAGCAGCTTTTCTTTATTTATCTGAATTCAGTTTTAAACTCATAAGTGCAAGAATAAATAAATAATTGGACAGTTTATTAACTTCTCACATTCTCAGTGTTTACCCATGAAAATATGCAGAAAACTACATTAGAGCATTTCAAAATATTTCCCATAATTCCTCGAATAAACAATATTTGCACCTGTTCCTTTTTCCTATTAAAAAGATATATTTCTGCAAGAAACAAGTAATACACCCAGCAAAATGTGAAGGATAAACTAATAGTTAAGGCAGTCAACAGTCATAACTGTTCAAAATTATGTTAATAATGTAGCCTTAAGTCTACAAAGTGTATATATATATATCATTAGCGAAATGACTATAATCCATATAATAATAGATTTAAGGGGGAGAATATCATTCTTATCTTAAATTTTAAACCTTTTAAGAGGCACCTGATCACTGACTAGAGAAGAATGTAAAATATGAGAAATTTTACACGTAGTAAATATGTTTGCTGATTCAAAATTAATTAAAAAGGGGGGCACATCACTGCTAAAGGAAAATATTGTTCATTTGAGGCATTATGGGGAATTTCTTGAAATGTTCCAATGCATTTGACAAGTTCTTCCTGGAGGTTCTGTTATGGTGGTAATTATTGGGTACTAGTAAATCGAAAGTACTGGTAAAGTTCTTAATACTGTTCAATTACTTTATTAGGCTTCTGCCCAAATCTTTAACCTACAATAAAGTTTTAGTGACACATTCTCTCTAACTAGTTACTACGTTTAAGTAATAAAAATTCATATAATGCTTGAAAATGTGAATTTTCTGGCAAAATAATAACTTAACTGTTAAAAGAATTAACAATAACAGTTCTGTAAATAATGATTTACCATAAATGTGTTTAACCATACTCTTATGATGGCATTCCTTCATTAATTCAAAATTTGCTTTTCAGAAGTATCACCAAGATTTAATTAAATTTCTTTTTCCATTGATTAAACTAATTAAAAATAAAAAGTAACCACATAAAACAAAAATATAAGAACTTTCCTCTCAAATCACAGTGGTTCGATGAAGTAATGAGCATAAATAACAATTCAAAATCATATACATCAAAATCGTCTGCGTTAAGCAGGTTAATCCTGAAAATTCTGTTACATTTACACTGTAAAATACAGGTAAGAATTGGTGAACAGACAATACTGACAATGTTTTGTTCTCTTACCGATACCTACCAATGGAGGGAATAGGCATGTGAATCTGAGATGGATAAATCTCTTTATCGCTGAGATTTTCATCGGGTTCAATAATTAGTTGGCCAGCAGAATTACGTCGCTCTTGGATTAAGTGATTCACCCTCCTGTCGTGTGGTCGGCTAATGTACTTATGACCACTAGGCGGAGAGTGAAATGTTTGCTGGTGGTCACGGTCATCGTTTGCCAGGTGGCGTGGACCGCCCTGATCTCTACTACCTCTTGTTTGATCCCTTGCAGCATCCTCATTCCTCGAGTCTCTTATTCTGTCCCTTCTGTGTGGGTGCTAAGAAAAAATATGTTCATTATTTAAAAATAAAATACCGTACTTCGGGGAGGGTTGTGAAAGTATCTCTGGCAATAATCATTAAAAACTAAGTTTTTATATACTTAAGCTATATGTAAGTTAAACAATAAAAATGTATCACAAGCAAGGCTCTAGAAGAAGAGGGCACTGAAATAAAATCATTTAATTAAAAATTTAAGAATGGATTAACCAAGTCTCTAGAAAATGTCTCAGCATTTGGTTTGATTTTTTAAAAAAATATGTAATTTCCTATCAAGTTTCATAAAATATGGCCTATAACACAGTCATTAATTACACAAGATACAAGTCTAGATATTACATAATTCTTTCATATTTTGGCCCCTCTCTAAACAAACATTTTGCATGTACTTAAATCATTTGTTCAATGCATCTAAGAATGTTGGAGCTGATTATCTGATTTGGCTTGTTAACTTATTGCTATATCAGAATTAATTCATCTTTTTTTAGAATTACCTGGGCAAAAACTAGTTGATCAGCCTCACAGAAATTGTGTGCATAAGTACCAATTAAAACAAAATTCTTATTAAGTGTTGTTGGGGTCTACAAATCAGCAAGTCACACGACAATCACCACTGATATAAAGTTGCAGTGGAACAGAACGTATTAGAACTACATTTTGACATTGTTTGGTGTTTTGTAGGTAGAGTGATGCCACAAAATACTGATCACTTTTGGGAAGGTATGTAGCAGCCATATCCAACACAAAAGATTCATACATGCAGAGCATAAAGTTGTGTTTAGATCATGAATTTAGAGTTTTGATATGTGGGATATCTCTTGTACTTAACAGCATTGGAAAACAAAGAAATATGGATCAACTTGGGGCACCAGGACCAACAAGAAAGAGGTTTGCAAAAAATGATACCCCATATGTGGTAAGCAAAGTGTGACATCTTGTAAAAGATTAGAATTAATTAATACAGAAGCAAAAGCTATCCAAGTGCTCCAGGCAACATATCATGAAGGACCTTTGTCTGGAAAAGTGATACAAGTCACATGTACACAAATTGTTTCCAATAAATACCAGTTCAACCATCACATACCGCAATCAACTGTAGAATAAAAGGGGTTCTCTTGCTAATCCATACAAAGACATACCAGTAAAGTTGTTGGATGCAGCACCAATGAATTTCTGTGCTATTGGACTGTTGAAACAAGTTTTGGGAAAATGTTTTTCTCATACACTACATGGATTATGTAAAGCTGCATGAAGTTGAACATGTTTTGAACACAACAGTCTTGTGACAGAACCTTTTGCACTGGAAACTACACTGCAGGACTAAAGTCAAAGTGCAGAATCATCAGATAGAACATTAATGGATGTGACAATATGAACTGTAATTATATAAAATTAAGACTGGAAATTTGGTTTAATATAACATATTCAACCTTTGTAGTACAAAGAAAACGAGTATCTGACCTATTATTCAAGAAGTGAAGGGAAAAGAAAAGAAAGAGGAAGGAATTCTAGCTATGAGGATTCCAAACATCTTAACCTGGCATGGTCAGCTTGTGCCTGACTATGACAACCTTAGAATTTCTCACTATTGAAGGACAAATATGGTCACTACTTTGCATTTCCAAAGAATCAACTCCCCTTACAAGAATAAGAGAAATGGTGTCTTGCCTACAAATAAATTATAACATCATACAGTTATTTTATGATGTACACATTATTTATTACCTGGCTGAAAAAGTAAATATTTATACAATTTCTAACTGAAAAAATATCTTATATCACCTTCATTTAAACTATATAAAATATATTTACAGTGGTACGGCTAATGTAGTTGATAACGTTACAACAATCTTTGTGTATACCATTGTTTATATATGTAAGGTAAACTTCTAATGTAGTTGATAATATTACAACAATCTTTGTGTATACCATTGTTTATATATGTAAGGTAAACTTCTAATGTAGTTGATAACATTACAACAATCTTTGTGTATACCATTGTTTATATATGTAAGGTAAACTTCTAATGTAGTTGATAACATTACAACAATCTTTGTGTATACCATTGTTTACTCACCTATCTTTCTTCTATAATGTCAGGAAGTTCTGAGTGGCTGTTTACTCACCTCTCTTTCAGGTAGAAGGTGGGCCTGAAAGAGAGGTGAGTAAACAGCCACTCAGAACTTCCTGACATTATAGAAGAAAGAGAGGTGAGTAAACAGCCACTCAGAACTTTCTGACATTATAGAAGAAAGAGAAGGTGAGTAAACAGCCACTCAGAACTTTCTGACATTATAGAAGAAAGAGAAGGTGGCCTTTCTTCTATAATGTCAGAAAGTTCTGAGTGGCTGTTTACTCACCTCTCTTTCAGGCCCACCTTCTCTTTCTTCTATAATGTCAGAAAGTTCTGAGTGGCTGTTTACTCACCTCCCTTTCAGGCCCACCTTCTCTTTCTTCTATAATGTCAGAAAGTTCAGAGTGTCTGTTTACTCACCTCTCTTTCAGGCCAACCCTCTCTTTCTTCTATAATGTCAGAAAGTTCTGAGTGGCTGTATACTCACCTCTCTTTCTTCTATAATGTCAGAAAGTTCTGAGTGGCTGTTTACTCACCTCTCTTTCTTCTATAATGTCAGGAAATTCTGAGTGGCTGTTTACTCACCTCTCTTTCAGGTCCACCTTCTCTTTCTTCTATTATGTCAGAAAGTTCTGAGTGGCTGTTTACTCACCTCTCTTTCAGGTCCACCTTCTCTTTCTTCTATTATGTCAGAAAGTTCTGAGTGGCTGTTTACTCACCTCTCTTTCAGGTCCACCTTCTCTTTCTTCTATTATGTCAGAAAGTTCAGAGTGGCTAGTATCTTCCTCTGCTCTATCCTAAATAAAATGCAAAAAGCCACAAAAAGTATAACACCACTCCTGATCAATAAGTATTAATGATAACAATAAATCATAAGTATATGCCAATAAAATGTCTACTACACTAGTATGTGTAATAAAAATGTTTATCATCTGTACAGTATAGATATCAAACAAATGGACAACAAACAAAATATGTGTTTGACTTTTTCAACATAGTGTGCTGTTGAGTAAGTTCTCCTACTTCATCTCAGTTTAGAGAAAATTCAGGCACATTACTGAATGAACTATGTTTAAAGCGTTTTTCTACTCTTGCATATTGCAGAATGTATTTTAGTAGCTTGAAAAAGTGCAATTTCTTAACTTACCAACATTTCAGTGACTACACGATTTACGGGTATGAAGGTTAACGGTACCAATTTGATGCATTTGAGCAGCTTTTCTACATGATAATATCTGATATTGTAATGTTCAAAACAACTGACTATTATAAATAGCATCACTACTACGTCTGTCATATCCCAGCTGGTCGGAAGAGTCCTAGTATTGGGTGGAAGGCCTTGTCAGCACTGGATATAGCAGACGTGGTTGAAATTTAATAATTTTACACTCTTCTTTGCTTTCATTCAGAAGTTCTTATTTAACACCTGCCACATGAGCCAGCCCAGCACCTTTTAGTACAGAGCCTAGGATGGTCAATGAGAGTGTGGGTCATTCTGGAAACTAGTAATTTATGGTTATGTCAATAGATTTCATCAATCAATGAGGCTCTGCAAAACTTCTAAAATGAATAAAAAAACTAAATATTAATGAAAATATGACATGATGAAAGTTATACGGATTATACTATGGTGGTACCATACAGGGCATTATACCATCCTTCTTATATTTACTCTTCAATGCAGAAATGGCATTTCTAATGTGAGAATTGCTAGGGAAATAATTTTATAATGCATCTGATTCAACTTCAACACTGTATCTTTGGACTTTACTGTGTCATTAGTTTCACACAATATTGAAACTAATTATTTCTTGTATACTATTTCAATTCCCCCTTTTGAAGATAACAATACTATCATGCCTATTGTTTCATGTTTCACTGTCAATGCAGTATTTAATTGAGGAGTGTCCGATTCAGCTGGTATGTCAGATTGATTAGGATATTTTTGAATAAGTTATTCCCTCATGTGACCTGGTCCCACAGTTTAGCTTAATTGTTACACTTAAACCATCACATTCACATCCATATCTAGAACATTTCAAGCATGTTTCATTGCTACATAGTTTTACTTTACATTTACAAGTTAACTTCTCCAGGCGGGCTCTCATGGTCACAGATCAGGTAACGGGTCTGATCCAGCAAACCAGAACCTCAAAAATAGTGCCGAACATCTTCTTTTTGTCTAATCAAAACAACCAAAACCTTTCCAGAATGACCCATTTTATTGGATGCAATTCAAGATGTTGAGCTGGCTCATATAGCAGGTGTTAATGAAAATACTTTGTTGATTTTTAACCTTGACTATTCTTATAAATATTACTGTAATAAAAAATAATTAAATATTTTAAAATCATATTATTAAGATAATGCTACCAGATTAATATAGCAACTAAGAAGCTAACCAGAGTTAAGTAATAAAGAAATAAGACTAACAAAAGTAGAATATTTAAAATAATAACCAAAATTCTTGTACTAAATGATCAATAGTAATACAATCACATATGCTTTATGAAATAAACATTTGAAAGTGATGAACTGTAGTCATTAATACTGATGGATGGAGCTGTACTACTACTAAAACAAGAAACTATCACATTAATTGATCATATAAAGTTTGAATAAGTCTAAATCGATAAACTTTCACGCAATCTATAAAATTTGAATAAGCCTAAATCGATAAACTTGCATACATACTTTAAAGTAAGAGAGTCTACACAAATTTATATTATATAAAAGGTTATAAAAAAACAATCTTGAATGCATATGATTTCTGGGTATAGGTTCTGAATCTGTGGGTGTCTTAATTGGAGCGTTAGCACTTATGGGGAAAAATCTATGGTTGCTCAGCACTTGGCAGGATTTTTCACAAAGCTCTGTTTGTGGAAAAATATCTAAGCAGTTTTTTTTATGTAAATTAAAGCCTAAAATAAAACTTTCATGATGAAAAGATTAGGAAAAAAAACGACCTTTATACTCGAGGTAATTATAAAAGAACTTTATATTTTAACCTATGTTTCACCTTTGCGGCTTCATCACGGTTACTACATAGTTGTATATACTAACCCTGATGGAGCTGAAATGGCAAAACGTCGGTTAAAATAACAAGTTCTTTTATAATTATTTAGAGTACAAAGGTCATTTTTTTCTAACCTTTCTATCAAAATGTGTAAATCCCTCCAATATGCACAACAAATTTTGAAAGACAACAAAAACCCTCATGAATCTTTTCATATTTGTAATCATAATGAAAAGCACTAACTAGAGTTTTACGCATGCATTCATAGTTTGATCAGCCCTCCCACCTACGATGTTAAGGGGACAGAAACATAAGAAAAGAGAGCACAAGATGTCAAGACATAGTACCTTTATTAGTAACAATGACACCTAATTAGCAGGTGCATACAGCTAAGCTAGCATCTTGTTAACTGTTTTAAACAAAAAATCAGTGACATGTACAATAAGTGTGACTTATTAAGAGAGACTTGTACATATAAAAAAATAGGTTTTTATTTAGCCTAGTTATGATATAAGTTGTCTGATAATCAAGAATACTGCTTTCCTTGTATAGCCATACAGCCTCCACTCCTCATGGTATTTACACATAAATATCCAGTAAGAGAAGCAACAGTCAGTGCCTATGCCTGTTGGAATGACTGAATAACCTTTCTGCAAGATCTACAATATAAATATATTGAGCAATTCCTCACAAAAGCATAAGCAAATGTAGGACACTATATTAACTATTCACTGAATATAAATAAAATTCTAAGAATAAGAATTTTTTTTATACTGTTGTAGTTTACTATGAAACTGTACTCATTTTATTCACTTTCTTATGAAAATATATTCCAAAACATGCTCAACATCTGGTTTAAAAATGTTGTTAAAATAATATGCTCTTTGTTTTCATCTACTATTTCTAATGATTTTGATGCAACTTATTCAAAAATATTTTATATAGCCACCTTTAAAATATAAATATCTGCCATATAATGAAACACAAAGTGACTACAACATTGTGTGGCCGTGGCACTGAGTACCACAGATATGAGTCAAATCAGCTCTCTTCTGGTGTAAATTTTATTTAGATAGCAAAATCGCAAAACTGGAAGGTTAATTAATCAAACATGAGTGTCAGATATAGCTGGAAGAGTGTCATGGCGATATATAAACAAAAACTACATGAAGAAACATAATATGTGTTATCAGAAATATGATACCAAACAATTGAAACTGTTAGTTGATTAATATAAACTCAGCTTTTTTTAACAAACATTGTATTTGTTCCAAGGAAATCCTGGAAAAAGACATGTAAATTAAAAAAAGAATTAAATCCAAATAATTTACAAAACTAACTCTCTTCAGGTCAATTTGCAATTGACTGAAGATTAATTACTTTACTTGCATTATTTTATCTATTTATTAAATTACTTGCATCTGGTAGAAAAAATGTGTACTAATTATCAAATAAATCACTTACATCTGAATATAATACAGCAATATTTGAAATATTACTAAGTGCATGATAAAAGACTGTACATCAAAACCAGACAGAAACAAGTGAAAAACAAAGCTAGAACACTTGACAGGTCGAGGCAGTGTTAAATGAAGGATAGTGCTTTTGGTAGTTTCAACCTCTTTCAGGAGTAAAAACTTAACATTTTGTGGTAAGTTTTAACTGGTCAGATGAACTAAGACACAAACCAAACATCATAGGCATATGAAAACATTAATAACTTTCACATATTCTCCTAGGAAACAAATAGCACATACTTAGAAGAAATGTAGGTTTATTCTACCGAGGCGACACGAAGATACATGACATGAGCATGTAATTCAGGTTGATAGTTATATAACAGCACAATTAACAAGACAGGAACAAAAGCTGACTCTGCATGCAACATTAGCATATCGGGTGAGGAACAGAAAGATAGTAACTGCCAAAATGTTCAAACCTGGTCACAGAGAAACACACAACAACCAGACTCTTCAGTGTCAAAATGGAAGCCAACAAGTTTTATGAGCCTGGATGAATCAAGCAAAAGTCTTTCTGATGAATATTATCTCACACAGCTCATTCCTTCGACTACATCACATATTGTAAAGCTAGTTATAATGCTAAACTTTCTGAAGAATCTAACACTATGGCTAAAGGTTATTAAAGGCTACTACATCACATATTGTAAAGTTAGTTATAATGCTAAACTTTCTGAAGAATCTAACACTATGGCTAAAGGTTATTAAAGGCTACTTCTAACTTGTAGTGAATGGTGTTTTTGACCCTTTACCGGGTTGTTCTCAGGAAAGTAAGTTAATTCTAAAATAATTTCTAACTCTACACTGTTTATGCTGCTTCCAATAAAAGAGAATAACAATATCTGTCAAAAACACTGTCAAATTCTATTAATTTTATTAACATCCTAATAAAACTAACTTAAATTATGCATATACAAATAACATATCACTTAATAAAAGAAGAGATAAAATGATTATTTATTAAAGAACATTTTATCCAATACGATACTTGAAGCCTAACTGAAAACTAATGGCATAGTTGAAGAGCTTGGACCTTAAATATAGTGTGTTTGTTTTTCCATTTAATTACTACAATGTCTAAATTAGAGCCAGTCGCAGTAAAAGATGAACATATGTCAGAGGTGAAAACAACGAAAGGCTTCCATTTTAACACAAAGATAAACAATACCAAACAAACACTGCATCCTGAGCTACCTGAGATAAATGGTCTGGTTCAAAAGCTCGAGACCTGCGTGCTACGTGGCTGAGCAGTTCTGTTAGCTCCGTGTCTGACTCTGAGTCAGAGTCGAGCTCATCGTGTGGTGCTCTTTTCTTGTAGGGGCACAGAGCAACAACATTCTATATGAACCATCAAAGAAGAAAGAGATGTGTGAAATAAAAACATGTATTTAATGTTAACTCATTTCATTCTAGGTTCCTTACATTCTTCCACAGTACCTTGTATAAATTATGATAATAGTTATGAGCTGTAAAACACATATAATATCACATTTAGTAACTAACAGAAGAAAATAAAATAAAATTCCTTATTTTTTTTCTCTGTCTCTCTCTCTCTCTCTGATATACCTACACACCTGTAACCACAAATACTATTCACTGTTTGAACAATCAATTAAGGCTACTACACTTGATTACATGAAACACTCATTATTAACAACTGTAAAATATTAATACCTGCTTACAATAACAGAATACAATTATTAATTAAATACTACAATTATAAGAGCAGTTCTTTATTTACTGTTAGGCCTGAAAATGCACAAATGGCAAAATAACTATTCAAAACTCTCCACATAAAACATAATATTCAGAATTATTTTTAAAAATTATGAATACATGTTCAATACATGATTTTAAACTCTAACTAGAGATGGCATGGATGCCCTCATTAAAGCAATACAAAAGCCATCTGGATTTTCTTCTCTACAGATCATCAGAAGCTAGATATGAAGTGCTACCTGGTATAGTCGCTCTATCTCTGGTGTAATGCCACTTTTCAGCTATCCAGAGCATCCCAAAAGTCTAAAACTGGCAAACAGCCAAAAATAAGATTTCTTATTTTCATTCATCATTATCTTTCTTCAACAGGCCTAGTGTCTACCAAGTTCTAGCAATAACTAACTTTATCATAATTTGATAGAGCAAAACAGCCTTAATGACCTTTGACTACCTATTTTATTATTACTCTATGCAAAATTTAAAAAACAGAAAAAAAATCATAATTCTAGTGTAAATGATGTTATTACCTCTTGAAGTTAACTTTCTTACAGAAATCTGGTGTTCCTTTAAAAAGCTTAAGTACAGGGTGAAACAGGAATAACCATCCAATAATAGATGAACATTAGATGACTGTAACATGCAGAATAGTCAATGCTTTGTACACTATACAATCGATGTCTTTGGGGATCCAACCTCCATATTATGTATGAAGTGAAGGAGTTAAAAAAAATTCAATACACATACAGGTCATCAGAAGCTAGATATGAAGAGCTACCTGGCATAGTTACTCTATCTCTGGTGTATATCCCGCTTTTCAACTATCCAGAGCATCCCAAAAGTTAAAACTGGCAAACAGCCAAAAATAAGAATTCTTATTTTCATTCATCATTATCTTTCTTCAACAGGCCTAGCACCTACCAAGTTCTAGAAGTAACTATAATTTTATCATCACTTGATAAAGCAGAACAGAAGATCTTTGAGTACCTATTTTATTACTATTCTGTGCAAAATTTATAAAGTTTTAGAATACACTTTATAACTAATAACCCACTTACACCATCTTAAAAAAAAGTAAACAAACAAGTAAAAGAAAAATTATGGCAAAATTAAAAAGCAATGTAGAGCTGGCTACTGAAAAAGTACCAAACAAAAAACAAAACACAAAAAACCAACCTTTGTCTAATAAAAGAATACTACTTTTATGACTGTTTTACAATAGAGTAACATTTTGCGATTGGAAATTCTGGTTCTGTTTGTTTTGCCAGTTAGAAAGCCAGTAATGTAGGAATTTTATTCTCCATATAAAGTTGAGACAGCTTAGTCTGTTTATGTGATCATTAGCCAATCAAGTTACACATCCACTTCCATCCCTATCTAGTTTTGTTCCTTTTTCAAATTCAGTAGCCAACTATACAAAGCGTTTTTATTTAGCAATATATTTTTTCCTTCTACTTGTAAACATATGCAAGTAAATAAAACATTCTCAGTCATAAGTAAAACCAGATTCCTAGACACATGCTAAAGATACGATTATCATCACAAGAATATATATATGTACACGAGAATGATATCTGTGGATAAAAAGTATATATATATAAATATATATATATATGTATATATATATACTGCATGAGCAGGATTTGGGACGAAAATGACTTGATTATTATGAATGTCATGTGTATACTACATCATACAGAAAAAAAAAGTGAGGGTGAGAAACTGTTAGATATACATGACTGTTTCCATTTTAGTATAGTGTGAGTGCTAAATTCAGTTATTTTTGGAAGTGATAGTTTATTGCAGGTTTGGTTATGTTACTGTTTTTTGAATCATATGTTGTGTAGTTCGATTGTTGTGAACTGGCAATTGTTGTATTATTGCATCATGTTACTAGAAACTTCTAAGTATTATTGTATCATAATATCTTGTAGTGCGTGAAACATTCTAGGCCTTTGTCAACTATAAATATGTATCCAAAAATGTAGTTTGAGTTAGTTAGATATAATAGATCGATCTAGACTACGTGATTGTGAGTTTTGCCATAAAGAGCATATACTGGCAACTTCCAAAGTGGAATTATCACAGATTGTATTGTAATAACAGAGTAGAGAAGAATAATTTGTCTTGTCAATTGTGTTCTAAAGTAACTGAACCCATTATTTTAAAGCAAGTGGACTCTGTGCTCTTTGTTTATTGTTGAGATTTACTGCCAAAAAAGTCAGAGACACCTACTGTAAAGAATCTGGCCCATATACATACATATAAAAACCTGACAGGGACAAATGCTCAAACCCCCATATTTCTGTATTTGTTTTAGTGTAATTAAAAAGCTTAATATGCCATTAGTATTCTGTTTTGAAAATGTAGAGCTATATATTCATGATATTAAAAATCATGGTTGAAGACTTTTGTGCAGAATTAATATGAGAGGTCACATTTAATTAAAACTCAGTTATAATTGTAATAGATGTTCCACACTCATGTATCTAAATGAACGTTATTCAAAGTGACCAAAACCTAAACAGACTTTCAAATATCTAAAACAGGCACATATTACCAAAAAAAGAACATAGTTCTACTATCATTATAATAATATCAAAGTAAGATAACATGAAAAATGCCCTTTGTACATCAAGTTTGTTTTTCATTCTCTTCTATCTGGTACTAATAATCTTTACTTCAGCACTATATCAACCAGTGCCACATATTTTTGACTTGATAACATGAACTTACATTACAATTAAATGCAAGGACCATCTTAATTTTTTCTTTTTCATGAAATTAAATGTAAAATCCCAATTATGGAAATTTATCAATTTTTTTTTCACCAAATGTATAATAAAATTAAAGATAAAATATAATTATACGTGCAAAATTCTTCCTAAACGAGTATGAAAACATAAGAAAATAAATCATTCAGTTAATTAGTAAACAGCAAAATATTTACCAATACAAACACACAAAAGATATAATCTTCATTCAATGTATTATTTCAGATAAGTAAACAGCAAAAATTCTATCAACATAGGCCATGAAAAGAAACAGCATTTACTCTACAGAGGTTAAAATGATTACGGAGCCTCACTATGTTGTTACAGTCTATGTCGCCACATCAGGTCATGTATCTTGACAACAGCTCTGCAGCATAGATACCATTTCAAAAGGTTTTTTTTAAGGCTTTCATGTCCAAACCACACCATTTCTCCCTGTATGCCTTCCATATTCCATCTAGTGTATAAGGATGACAGTTTTCTAGGGTCTGTTTAAAAAGTCTGATCACACAGAAATTCACAGGCACTACATCCAGTGACTTTACCAGTCTGCCTTTGTATAAGGAATAGCATAAATACCCGTTTTATTTTCCAGCTGCTTGAGGTATGTGGTAGCTATACAGGAGATATGACTGGAAGTCTTATCTTGGTGAACCTGTACCATGTTGGTTTAGTTTCCAGCTGAAGATCTTTCTTAATTATGTTAGGTAGTGTTGTCTGGGGTATGTGCACGGCTTTTGTCACTGACTTTTGTGTTTGTGGATTCTCACCTGTTACACTTTGCTTACTATGGCAGGGGTATGAACTGTTGTAAGTCTCTTTCCAGGTGGTTCTGGTACCCCAAGTTGACGCATATTCCTTTATTTTCAACACTGTTATATAAAAGGGATATCCACATCTTGAAAATTCTAAATCTCCAATCTGTACACATCACCATGTTCTGAGTGCATGAATATTTTGCATCAGAAAGGGCTGTTATATACCCTTTCCAAAAGCGATAAATTTTTGATGGAATCACACTAACTATGAAATGACAAACAATTAAAAAAATGTAGTTATGATACATTCTATTCCACCATGAATTTATAAGAGCTGTGGTTGTAATGTGATTTGCTGTTTAATTGCTCATCCCCCTGTTTTCATTCACAAAAGTAGTCAAATTTCTAATAATTCACAGACAGCCTTTAGGTTATATCTATCTATCTATCTATCTGTCTATATATATATATATATATATACAAACACATAAATTACATAAAATCCTTTTTGTCTTTCAAAACTTTTGAAATATGCACCCCCAGAGACATTTATTAATTGAAAACATTTTAGATTTTATTTAATTTAAATTCATAAACTTTAACCTACTAACAAACTTTATACTTTAAAAACAATTTACATTTTACCTTTAAACTTTGAAACCACGGATGTGTAATGTTTTAGGTTCTTCAAGGAGCATATTATCATGTGTATTTTTGTGTAATGTTTTAGGTTCTTCAAGGAGCATATTATCATGTATATTTTTGTGTAATGTTTTAGGTTCTTCAAGGAGCATATTATCATGTGTATTTTTGTGTAATGTTTT